AAGAAATTTTAATAATGGGAAGTGTAACTACTGGCCCCACCTATAGTATAGATCTTAGTTAATTATCCAAGTTCATATAAACACAGTTAAAAATCTATCTTGCCTTCTTCTACATGTTAGGAATCAGTACTGAAACGCAATTAGTTCTGAATCTAGTTTACAGTCTTCTATAGCTCAGGAATCAGAACACTGGGCGCAGCTACATGAGACATTGAGTTGACTAATTAGCTCCACAGTAAATGTCTCAGCATCTACATGTGTGGCCCTATTAGGCTGCAGTAAACTAACAAACTCCACTGCAGGTTAGTACTTGTAAATAAGTACTACCCTATGGAAGAGCTTTAATGCTCAGCAATGCATGTGCAGATGCTGATGAGGCTGGCTGGTGCTTCAGTGCAGGGGGCTGCCTGCCACCTAGCCCTATGCTGGAGCACCTCATGCCCCAGCCAAGTCAGAGCAGCTCTGAGCTGGCAGGTTGACCCCTGGGCCTCCTGCCAACTGGAGCTGCTCAGACCCAGATCAGTGTGCTGCAGTCCCAGGCACACATTCAAATGTGGTACCCAGGAGCAATAAACTCGGGTGTGATGTTTGCCAGTCTATTGTCTACATGTGCAATTAATTGGAAGTATATCCACTGCTTGCTACCAATAGCTGAATAACATTTATGCTTGAGTGTAGGCAAAGCCTGTGAAAAGTCAAAGCCTATTTTTTGTTCCCTGGTCCCTTTTTTTTTTTTTTTGTATCCTTTTCAGTAGTAAGGATTTGGATGTTCATTCTGTTTCTAACTAGTATTGCACAATTTAATTCCTCTCTTCTGGGCTATAGGGAGGATATGCTTCACGTAACAGCATCTTTGAGCATATAGATTCTTGTAATATATTTGTAATTGATGCTTCAAATGCTCCAAGTATTGGCACTTTTGATGTTTCAAACTGAATTTGGGCATTCATCAGGGATCATTTCCCCAGCATGCAAAAGGATCACTTTGTCAACCTCCTGCCGTGTTTCCCCATTTGAGACCAATGCTGTAGAATAGCTATGCTTCCGTTAGCAATAACAACTCAGTGCATCATGGTGGATTTTCCTTTTTCTTCAAGTCCTGTTCAGAGACTATCATGTGGCTCATATAACATTCAAATGAATTTTCTTTTTTTATTTTCTGTGTGCCTTTCTATGGTCTAAAAAGTGCCTTTAAATTCCATTAAAATTATCCAAAAAATATTTATTCACTATGCAGAATTATTTGAGAAGAGACTCTTCATTCAAGCAGTTTTCAATTTTGTACATTTGACTGCAACACCTCTGTATAGCCATATTAAGAATTTAACCTTTGGCCACAATTAAAGGAATCTATAGGAAGCATCTAAAGGATACCAAGGTGATCAGGAACAGCCAGCATGGATTCACCAAGAGCAAGTCATGTCTGACCAACCTGATTTCCTTGTATGATAAGGTGACAGGCTCTGTGGATGGGGAGAGGTGTGATATACCTTGACTCAGCAAGGCTTTTGACATTCTCTCCCACAATACTCCCATTAACCACAAGCTAAGGAAATACAGAATAGCTGACAGTATTGTGACAATCATTGTGTTCAACAAGTAGTTATCAATGGCTCAATATCTAATTGGGAGGTGGCATGAAGTGTGGTTCCTTAAGTGCTGGGTCTGGTATTTTTTTTAATATCTTCATTAAAGATTTGGACAAGAGGATTGGGTGCATACTTAATGAATTTGTAGACAACACCAAGTTAGGTGGACTTATAGACACTCTAGAGGATAGAGCTACAAGTGAGCATGACCTAGATAGACCAGAGAAATGGTTCACAGTCAATCAGATGAGATTCAGCAAGGACAAATGTAAAGTCCTGCACTTGAAACAGAATAATTGCATGCAAAAATACAGAGGGGAAATAACTAGTTAGGCTGCAGTACTTCAGAAAAGGACCTGGTGGTTACACTAGATGATAAGCCAAATATAAGCCAACAGCGTGATCGGGTTGCAAAAAAAAAAAAAAAAAGGCCATCAGCATGCAGGATTGTATTAGCAGGAGTGTCACTTGCAAGTCAAGGGAAGTGATTCTTCCATTCTATTCAGCACTGGTGAGACCTCACCTGGAGTACTGTGTCTGCTTTTGGACCCCTCATTTCAAGAAAGACATGGATAATTTGGAAATAATACAGTGCAGAGCAACAGAAATATTTAGGGGCCTGGGAGGCAAAACAAATGAGGAAAGACTGAAAGAACTAGGGTCTGGCGGAAAGAAGACTAAAGATTGGGGGGGGGGGGGAAGAGGGGGTTGTTAACAGTCTTCAAATACCTGAAGGACAATTCCAGAAAAGATGGAAATAGGTTTTTGTCTCTGGCCATAGGGAACAGGACCAAGAGCTATGTCCTCAAGTTTCAGCAGGGGAAATTTAGGTTGGAGATTAGGAGGAACTTTCTGACTCTGAGGGTGGTCAAGCATCTGAACAGGCTACCTAGAGAAACTGTGGAACCTTCATAGTTGGAAGTTTTCAAGAGCAGGTTACACAGTCACTTTGCTGGGATGGTCTAGTCAGGGATGATCCTGCCTTGAGCAGGGGGCTGGCCTACATGACTTTGTGAGGGCCCTTCTAGTCCTACTTTCTTATGATCCTACATTTTTCCTCAGTGCAATCTGCCAGTGAATACCGTACTGCAGAATCATGGCTTAATTAACATCAAGTTTTAGCTGAAAAGTGGTATAAGCATGGGCCAATCCAGGAGTTTGAAAAAGGGGGTGCAGATGGTGTGGTGCATCAACCCATATAACACAACACACAGTTTTCCCCAGTTAAAAAGAAATGAGATTCATTACTAATATTCTGGGGACTTAGAGCACATTGCAACACAATTGTATCTGTTTCTGCATTGATTTTAAACAGTGTAATATAGCCCTAACTTGCTGTTATGTATAAAAACACAATAAACTAGGCAAAAATAATGAAAAGATAGTGTTTCATTAGCCCTGTAGTAATTAGAGTTAAGTGTACATCTTTTTGTACAAGAAAATCTAGCCTTCTTGAACATGTTGGCAATGTATCAAATGCTTCACTAAAAGTTATTTCCATGCCTAAGTTTAACTGAGTTATTTTTTTTTTTAGCTAGAGTTAAAAGTCTGCCATCTGGTTACGTAGAAGCTACATTACCAAGATCAGCTAACAAATACCAGAATTGCTGAAGAAAGGATAACTTGATTAGTAGAACATCAAGACCGTTAAAAAGGAGAGAGGGTCATTAACACCTGTGGAATTAAGTATTTGGAAAGAATCAGGTAGATTTTAATGAGATATGAAGTCAATTTTTGCCTGAATAGAAATGCTGCTGCTGCTTCTAGGCAGTTGATTTTAAACTTTGGGTAAAGAGGAATCAAAGTGGGAGGTGCAACTGCACCCCTCATGGATCTGCCCTTGGGCATAAGCTCCTAAGATATCATATCTTAATTAAATAGAAACTTTAATTGAAAAAATAATTAAAAACTACACTAACTCAAAAGTTTCTTAATGTTGTCATTAGAAAAATATTGATAAGCTTTAAAATATAACATACAGGTAATTTTAAAAAATTTTACTCAGAAATTGAAAGAATTCCTATATATGACTTCATTTTTAGTACCTGAATTTCACAGTAGTTTTAGAAACAGTGTAATTGTGTACAAGAAGAATTTTTTTCATAGGTCAGGTCAGATTTGCACATCTGCCCTAAAAAAAAATTAATAATGCTGCTGTGTGATAATTCAAAGATGATTCTGCTACTAGGCTGGAGGTATCACCACATAAAAATATCAGTGCTTTTCCATTGTTCCAAACATAGTGGTTCCTGTATGGCTAATTGCTTTAAAAGTATTAATAGAACATTAATTTATGACCATGTTAGAGATTGTTGATGATATCATCATTTTATGTATGCCTTCAGAAAAGTGTACTCATCTGAGGATAGTTGAGTAATGGTTATTACTGAGTATGTAGCAGGCGTGCCACCTGTGGAGAGGGATCTCAATGGTTTCAGCCATGGATAGAAGCCAGAACCAGGGAGGAAATGTTATGCCCTACAGTTCATCAAGCTAGAATTCAATCCATCGTTTACACTACTCCTTCTCATATAGCTAGCACACTATAACACATAATCATGTTATATAATATGGCATACCTCAATGTGTTTTCCTTTGGGTCTATCAACACTTAATGCTACCTGCCTGCCAAAGGATGGTATTTGCCAGCACCTGTAAAGTGGGAGTTCACAATCAGAGTTATTTTACTACCACCCTGACTTGAAGTAAACAATAAGAGAAGGAAATAGCATCTGCATAGTCCCAGCTTTGAAAAAAGCAAAATCAAGAATTTTTAATGCAGCAGCAAACTGTTAACTGTGTTTAAAAGAAAATAAGTATTCTAAGTATAACTAAATGACTCTACAGGAAGACATGCAAAGGCTTTAATTTAGTAACGTCTACACCATAAAATATTAGTCAAGTGCTAGCATAGCCATTAATACTCTTTTAAACACAAGGCAATTTCACAGTCTCATTTACCAACTGGAATCTCCCAAGTCTAGTTGGTAATTGTGCTTTTTATTCATCTCTGTAAATTCAATTTAGTGCTTTTTAGTAGTTTCTTAGCACAAATGCATTGAATGTTGTTAAATTGGATTAATAGCTTTTATGTGATGTATATTATGTATATGTTAAACTGTAGGTTTCCTCTCATATTGTGGCAGTCTCTTTTTATAATGCACAGTTTTTTATTTTTTAGATTTTATTTCATTGATTTTTCCTGGCGGTAATATTTTTGTAATATATGTTTATGATATATGTTTTATAAATAGAACTTACTTTAGGAATGTGGGGTTATGGTCATCTTTAGCTCACGTCACATTGTTTTGGCCTGAGGCAAGCCTGGGGATAAAATCATTTCAGGTGGGTTAGAACCTAGATAAATAACCATAAAAGTCTTTTTTAGCAGTATTTCTTTTTTTAATTTATATCCCTAGCTTTGCTTAAAATAGATGCAAAAATCAGAGTATTGTGCACTGGCCTTGTATTCTAAAAGGTTTCTTTAGAGTTCATGTGTGCTTTTTAAATTATAAGCAGATGTTTACTTCAGTTCTTCATGAATTTGATTTCCTTCCTGCCTGATATTAGTGATGCTTTAAGTTTCAAGACTGAAAAAGACTAAATTAATAAGTTAGAAAGTATGAATGTGCAGGTGTCTTCAAGCACCAAGGTATTCAATAGACATGGTACATCTAGTCATCCTCACACAGTATTGTGACTTTTCAGTCTACATCTTAACTGCTTAGTCTATATTCAAATATACTTGACTGATTGACCCCACAAGTACTGAATACTAGGGCTGTGCAAAGCTTCAGTCACTGATTCTATTCGGCGGCAATATCTCCAAATCTGAATCAAATCAGGAGACACTTTAGTCTCTCTGAATCAAACCAGAACCCTCTGAATCAATTCAGAGACATTTGGAAAGATTGAGAGAATTGGACATAGACACAGCTTTAAATGTTTTTTCTACATACCTCTAGGTAGCAGGAGACTCATGAATACTGCTATGTTGGGGCATATGAAGTGTCCCACAGGAGCACCAGGGCTCCCCAGCACACTTGGCAGCAGACCCAGAAGTGGACCAGAAGCACTTCCAGTCCACTTCCAGTTCTGCCAGGGAGTGTGCGGGGGGCCTGTGCCCCCCCCCCCCCGGCTTCCCCCCCCCCCCCCCGGCTTAGCAACTGGTGCCTCCTGGGTCTGGGGGAGGCACCCGGGGTCCCCCCACAACCACTCACCAAGCCAGGGGAGGGCATAGGGGTCGTCCCCCCCATGTGCTCCCTAGTGGACCCAAAAGTGGATTGGAAGGGTTCACCACCGAGCACATGGGGGTGGGGCCCCCACACTCCTGTGGGATGCTCCATCCACCCCAGCATTCACAAGCCATGCTGTTACCTCGAGGTATATAAAAACAAAAAACAAAAAAACCACAGTTAAAGCTGTGTCTATGGCTGAATTGCTAATTCTCAGAATCAGCATCGAATCCCCAGATTCGGATTCAGCCAAATCAAATTTGGGACAGCGATCTGAATCAACGAATCAAATCACTGTCCCCAATTCAGGCCAAATTCAAATCAAATGTGACCCACTTCGCACACCCCTACTGAATACCATCAAAAGGCTATTTACGTCTTCTGCTTCCATGTTCTATTAAACAGCAAAGGTGGGAAGCACACAACTAAAGCCATGTGTGTTATGTGACCTATGCAAATATTCAACATATAAGATACTCAAAGTGCACGTTGAGTTGCTGTGCCCTCACTCCTGATGTGGAAGCAGCTTAGCCATGTTAGCCTAGCCCTGCACACAGCCTCTAAACTCTGCTTCTCAGTGATACTAATTAGCTCATATGTGGCCCTGCATAAACACAGCTATACTGCTTCTGGTTCAGGAGTTAGCAAACATGCAACATCTTTGCATGGCACTGCTTTTCATTGTAAGCGAGTAGTGTAGACGCAAGTGCTATCTAGGTATGTCTATGAGGCATCATGCAGAACCAGCTGCTTGTTCTGTTCATGCTCACTCTCAAACTAGAAGCAATAAAGACATGTTAATGTAGCCCTTTTTAGGGCACAAATGTCTAACACTAGTTCTTCACATAAGTTTAGAAGTCATATAAAACTATGTGCTTTTTAGTAACTGGTTGTACATATATCTTTCAAAGAAGGTATATGTTAACATATATGCACTGTCAGATACTTGAAGGTGATATAGCTGATAAGTTGTGATTAATTTGTTTATCAAGCATGCTCAACTTGCCCTCTGCCCACTAATCAAATGATTTTGAACACACTCAAGTCCTCCAAATCTCTGAACAGCTTCCAGGTACTTCAAATATTTTTAACTTGATGCACATACTAAGGAAATGTATCCTCCCCACTCCTATCCCTCCACTGAATCTCCCAATTTCCCTCAAAAAATTCTCCTATCTGAGGCCCAGAACATAAACATTCCAATCCTGGATGAATAAGCCTTTCCAAGAGGAAAAAAGGAAATGAAAGTGTCACAAATGAAAAGAGTCCAAGAGTCACAAATGAAAAGTCTTATATCTCATGTCACTTTGGTGCTAGAAACAGGAGCTTAATTCTGTGGCTTATTGGAAATTTGCTTCCCACTAGGCATATCTAAGCAGGACACTTAATGCGCAGCAGCCTAATTCTGTGCAATAGCATGCTGGGCAAAAACCATGCTACTACAATACTGCACAGTAGCATTAAGCTACTGCACAGTAAGTGTCACTAAAAAAACATGCATTGGCACTACTGCGCAGTAAGGCTAGGAACAAAGTTGCACATAAACTGGTTTAAGTAATCAGAAACTTCAAAATGGACTTGGTTGAATGTAGTATTGGACTTAACCGATTTGAGTCAAACCAGTTTATGAAACTTCTGTCCCAGACCCCTTCCTGGTTCAATCTGAAATCAGAGTCCCCCAGCACAGTGGCAACATGCACAGGGTGCACAGGGGTGCACATGCACCCCCTGAGAGCACTGGCACACTCCCTGACAGGCCGTACTCCCTGCTTAAGTGATGGGCAGGTGGGGGCAGGCAGGAGCACTGGTGCTCCCTGTCACAGGGAGAGACAAACAGGGAAGACCCCAAAGCCCAAGGAAGGAGCCCCAAGGCCAGGAAATGGGGGAAGCAATAGGAAAAACAAAAGTAAAAAAAGAAAATTTACCCGCAGCAGGACTTGAAGCAAAACAGGAGCAACAGGGAAAGCCTGCACGGGTTATTAGCTGTGCCTTCATTCAGCTGCGGCCAGCGGGTGACATCAGCAGTGATTGCCGGCCAGCAGAAATAAAAATTATGGCGCACAGAGGCCGGGGGGCAGATATTGGTTGGAGCCCCAGCCGTTGGAGAGGGCCAGAAGTGCGGGACTGAGCAAGAGGCAACGATCACCAGTAGAGGAGGAGCCGACGCCTCAGGCTGCAAGGGAAAGGTCGGCAGCAGCAGTAAAGACAAACCAGCACCAGGAACAGGAGTTCCGGTGATGAGCAAGGTAGAGAATAAGTAAGAAACCTGGAAAACCCCCGGGACCAGTAGTTTCCACGGAGGAGAAAACGCTGATCCTCCTTACAACGCCCAAGCAGGTGGGACGGTGGAGGGACTGAGGGCGCATGGAGAGACACCAAAAGGGGAGGAGCCATATTGGAAAGACTCAGAGAGAGAGGGCGGCTATACTGGGAAGACCCAGAGAGAGGGCTACAGGGCTGTGAAATCCCAAAAGGAGGGCTGCAGAGTGGTGAAGACCCAGAGAGAGGGTCATAACTTTTGGAGGCCAAGGGAGAGTAGCGGTAGCCAGGGCGGTAGGGACCAAGCCGCAGGGCTGGGCAATCTGGAGAGGACCCTGTTGAGTGAATAGGAATGTGGAGGGGCTATCTAGGGTCCCCAAGGAGGCATGGTGTTGGTGGTGGTTTTCTTGTGTTTGTTGGTTCTTTTCTTTGGCTAGAGAGAGTATTTGTGTTTCCCCACGTCAGAAAGGGTGAGGAAGGGCGAAAACAAGGAAAACGGGAAGACGAGCCGAGCACCTGGTGTGAGCGGGGATTGCAGAGCACGAGATCGGCCACAAGAGCGACAGTGACCCACCAGGCTGGGTATAGGGTGAGGTAGTGGGGACGTGGAGCCTCACGGAAGACCTCTGAAGGAGCAGGTGTCTAACGAAGGTAACCGCACCGTACTAAGCTCTCCCACTGGAAGAGATTCAAAGTCGTGGCAGGAGAGAAGGGGGTGATTTGTGGCACGTGTGAAGACCTCCCGTAAGACCACCTGCAACGGCAGGGCTGATCCCGGTGAACACCTGAACCAGGGAAGCACAGGACAAGATGTTCAAGGCCGGGCGAGCACACTCCCCTGTGAGCATTGGCCAGGGAATGGGAGTGTGGGATGAAGCGCCACAGCGACTTCCAGGAGCACCGTGGCTGCTTCCCGGTCAGCACAATCAGCTGCAGAGGACCTTTCCCCCCCACCCCCATTCGGTGAGTTTGGCCACAGGGGGAACCCCTCCCCCCCCAATCATTGACTGGTCACTGGGGGAGCATGTCCCCCCCCCCTGAATAAAGGTGGCACCAGTTGCCCATGCCCCAGCATCCCAGCATGCTTTCCAACCCTGGACTGGGCTGTGCTGTGCTGTGCTGTGCTGTCTGCTCCAGAGGGACAGGGCTGGCCCTGCCCCTCTGCTCTCCGGCTGGAGCAGTGAGGGTGGGCTCACTGGCTGGCTCACTGCCACCCCGCTCCCCACCAGGCAAACCCCAGCTGGAGTCTGGGGCCAGGGAGGTGATTAAATTCACCTTCCCCTGAATGCGGGGCTGCCCTGCCCTGCTAAAAACTTAGTCCTGGCTGCAACTGTGGCCTACAAATCCCAGAGGCACCCAAAAGCAAGAAGAGGAAGTGATGAGCAACCCTGTGGAGTCCTGACACTTTGATGCTAGACTGCAAATCCCAGAGACTTTGGGAGCAGTAGGAAGAATAAACAAACACACAGCCCAGGATGTGTTTATAATTTTCAATTTTATAGTTTTTCAGAGAGGGAGCTATTCTTGTTCAAGCATTGAAATCATAAAAGCTACTAACTTCCCTCCTCCCCCTCTGCCCAGGCATAGCATGGGATGGGGCCTGGCCACACCCCCTCTACTTCAGCAGGGAGGGGGAAAAAGCCTTGGAGTGTCTGGCAGGCATGTTCTAGCACCCCCCAACTTCTGGCTTGAGCCACTGAAGGCATGTGGCTGTATTTCCTGAATCAAAAGTGAATGTGTTCATTTGTTTATTGGTTCAAATTCTGCAGCTTAGACTAACCTGCAAAGACTGAATGAATTCGGCCTCAGGCTTTTTGACTAACCGTACTTAGCCACTATGTAGTTAGTGTGCATTTAGTTAAGCAAGAATAAATGTGTAGATGTGCCCACTGGAATGTAGCACTCAGTTCCATGCCTTCAAAGAACCTGAGATAACAGACTTTAAAGTAAGGATGTAGTTGCACAGAGAAATTGTTTCATTCTAACATAGAGATTTTTATTGCCTGGATTATCATAGGACCAGATCCAAATTGGTGAACCAGGGGCCTAAACAGGTTTTAGGCAGAATTTTGGATGCTTACTCACAAGAGGTAACCCAAACTAAGCGTGACCTAGGAGCTACAAATCCCCTTATATGTATCAATTTGTTATGGCTTATACTTTTACCAAGATGCCTAAATTTTAAGTTACAAGCGTGCATAGAAGCACTCCTTATGAGAAACTAGCCATCTAACTCCTGTCTAAGCCCTCTTGAAATCCAGAATTGAGGGAAGGAAGTACTTCAACTACCCCAGGAAGCCTGACCCATTAGGTCCACTACGTACATACATAACCCACACCCAGTTCCAGTAAAAGCAGATCAGCCAAAATGATATTCACTCAAAAATATGACTAGAAGATAATGGGGTCTGAGTGGTGCCCACTTTTGCAAAATAGCCTAGTTGTTTTAACATTTGCCCTGGATGGCATAAACAGGTTTGGTATCTAAGGCTAGAACCCAGGGCACTGCCCTCCCACACTGGACTACAGATTTATGGCCCTCTTCCTTCCTTATGACCCCAAGAGTCTTTCAGTCTTAGTTGCCCAGCTTCACCCAGATCATGTACCCTCCTGCTTATTCTGTAACTTCATGACTGGGCACTCTTGCAGGAGATGGGAACTTGCATTTGAAACTACTCAGGCTGAAGATCACTTGAATCCACATCACTCACTTCCTTAGTAAGTGCTCTAACCACCCTGTGACAAGGGGGCCTCCTCGGGGCTGACCTCCAGGGCCCGCCCCCTGTCTTGTGGGCAACCGCCCGCCTATCTCGTCCACCACGCCTTGGTGTTAATTGATTCAATTAAGATGTCAATTAAGCGGGAGGCTACCCATTTTAGTGCCCCAATGCCAGGGGGTGCTCTCTGCGGCTCCTACCTCCCCAATACTGCAGCCCAAGCCTCACAGATGGCATCATGGTGTTCACATAATCACCGGCCCCACACTGGGCCCCAGAATCTTTCATACAGGACCCCTCTATGATCCTTCCGATCAGGCGGTCTCTCCGCCATCATCCATGCTACCTAGCCCCCCCGAAGCTACTTTCCCCTCCCGGGCGTGATCCCCCCGGGACCTTCGGCTACTAGCCCTGGCCCACCTCCAGGCCAGTCGGAACACCAGGCCCCCAGCTCTTGGGCATCCCTCACGGTGGGCCCCTGGCCCTTTTGACCCTCCTGGTCCTGGCCCCAGCTTGGGCCAGTCAAGGGTACTCTCTCCTTTGGGCTGGGTCTCTAGCCCCACACTCTGTCTCCGGGCCTCACCGTGCCACTACTCCTCTTCTCCCAGGGGCAACCACAGCACCACGCCCAGTACTCATTCACTCTCTCGGGGTCCACCCTCTGGGCCCCTCCACAAACAGGGTTACCCACCCAGTGGTGGGAGCTAGGGGTAAAGGCGCCCCAACCCACCTTTCACCGGGGTGATAACTGGCCTGGCATTTCCTGGGGGCTCCCATGCCACTGAGAGCCCCACCAGGCTACCCGCTCCCGGCAGGGTGCAGTTTCAGGTAATGCCCAGGACCAGGAGCCTCCTTACCAACCCCTTGCAGCTCCCCCTTACCTCCAGGTCATTCACAGCAGCCCTACAGCCAGGCAATGTTGCTGCCTCCTCCTGCAGCCAAACTGCCCTGTTTATATAGGCAGCCCATGCCTCAAAATGGCTGCCCTCGTCAGGCACCTGGAGGCTGCCAGCTCCAGGCCCTTAAAGTGGCAGACACACCCTGTGCTCTGCCACACACCTCCCCCCTTAAATCATCACTGCCCCCTCACACTGGGGCTCCTCAATGCCGCCGCCCCCTCACACTGGGGCTCCTCATCGCCACCCCCTCACATTGGGACTCCTCATTGCTGCCCCCTCACACTGGGACTCCCCATGTTCTCAAGCCTCCGGTCTTTTAGGCCCCATGCACTGCTATCCTCTTTTAACTGGGCTCACCATCCTGCTATCCCCTTTCCTGAAGCTATCTTCCCCTCTTGGGTGTGGTTCCCCCGGAACCTTCGGCCTCTTGCCCTGGCCCACCTCCAGGCCAGTCGGGACCCCAGGCCCCCGGCTCTTGGGTGTCCTTTGCGGTGGGCCCCCGGCCCTTTTAACCCTCATGGTCCTGGCCCCAGCTTGGGCCAGTCGAGGGTACTATCTCCTTTGGGCTGACCACCGCAGGACCCTGCCCCCCTCAATGCCTATTACTGTGCTTGCCTACCACCGGGCTCAATGTATGGCCCCTCTCGGGCTCCTCTCGTCGCTGTCCCCCTTTCAATGGGGCCGGGGTCCATGCACCCCACATGCAACCCACTGCTTGCAAGTGGCAGGTGCACACAGTGCACTGCCACACACCCAACCATTATGCAAAAGATGGGTACCATCACTATAATGTCAGTTACATTTCTGCCCTTGGAAGAGGGCAGGGACTACCTCTTGAGGTGAAAGCATGTAATTTTCACCCCCTCATGAGTCAGGCAACTAAGCTTCTGAGAGGAGTGGAAGTTCAAACACTCCTTTGCTTAGGGTTTCCAGTGCCTATTTACAACAAAAAAAGCCTATTGAAATTGGCAAAATTGACTAGAATAGGTTACACCCAGCACCTCATCTGTGATACACTGAGATAAATTTACTACATGTCTGTTTGTTTTTTTCAAGGTAATTGTACCATATAATAAATACTTACTCCATAGCATAACTGTGCATTGTGTAGCCATATCACTTTTGCTGGAAAGTTAGTTAACTCCATAGTAATCATGCCACGTGTCCACAGAAGTGACAACATGACAATAGAAGTCAAGATGTTTAGGCTTTTTTATCAGTGTCATGGTAAAAGAGTGTTTAAGGAGAGAGTGTAGCAGTGGAGATCTTTACAGAGAGCTGTTTCCAAGTATGAGAGACAACATGGAAGAAAATGTAAAGGTTCTTGCTTGAAAATGTAACAAATGTGTATTATGGGCTCATCAGAGGTGACAATCAAGCACTTGAAGCTGAATAAATGATAAGTAGGATGGGAATAAGGCATGAAGGACCTTGAAGTTGAAAGCTTGTGGCTTGTTCACATGATAGAAAAGAGAAAGCCTATGGAGGGATTCAAAGAGAGGAGTAATATGATCAAAATGACAAGCAACAGGAATTATTTTGAGAATGCATATGCAAGAGGCAAGATTGCATTTGTCAAGGCCAAAAGAAAGTGTTGCAATGAACTAGAAATTAAATGATGGGAGGCTGAATGAGAGCTATAGGTATAGTAGGAACGATATTTTAGAGGTTTTACACAAAAAAATCTATAAGACTTAAAAGTTCCCTCCACACTTTGAACAGACTGCTGGTAAAGATGGTCCCTGGCAAAGAGAGGCAGAATATACCATATTTACTCAAATACAAGATGAGATTCTTTTTCTTCCAATTACCATGGGGAGGGAGGGGAAAGTCTCTCTTACATTTGCATATAAGGAAACCTCATTAAACAAATTGCCTATAACTAAACTATTCCCAAAAGCAGCATACACTCAGAAGTAGAAACCAGCTATGAAAACGATAAAATGCAGCCAACACTCAGTATGACTATAAAACATAAGACCCCTATTAGGCAAACATACTGATGGGAACCTACCACAAAGATAGGTTAGTACAGTCTATCTGGAAAAGATATATGGTAGTACCGATTGCATGCACTCCCCATCAGTGCTGACTCTTCTTCAAGTCATGGTGGGCTACTACGCTGCATACATATTTACTTCCTCTTCCTTCCCACAGTTGAGCTGTGCCTTTCATTCCCATTTGCAATCATTCTTTTTTCTTAACCAGCCTTAAATATCTAGCAAACATCATCAAATGGGACCCCAAATAGTTCATCCAGAATCACTCTGTTTCTCCCCCTCTCAGCCTGTCATATATGATTAGTGTGGCCCTACCCTCTATGAAGTAGAGCTGGATCAGGTTGCCCTGTGCCTCATCTGCATATAAATTTTTGGAGGATCTCAAGGCTCTTGCCAAGAACACGTGGCTCCAGTCATGAGCGGGGATGATTAGCACATGGATCCTGTTGAGGGATGGGGTGAGGCGAGGGAGAAGGGGGTAATCTGGAGTACACACACATACTGAGTAATGCTGAGCTATGGGGTCACCATGGTTTGAAATGCTGTTTCCTATGCTGGGGCCCAGCCCAATTAACTATATGGTAAATCATGAGATGTTTGGCTTTGGACTGATATCGTGCATAATGGGCATGTCTATATGAGATGCTACATTGCCATAGTGACAAGCTACAGTGACATAACATCAGTAGGCACTAACTGTGATGCTGCCACTACTGCACAGTAGCAACAAGCTACTGCACAGTTGAGTCTAAAACAACCTGCGTGCCACTGGGTACTGTGCAGTCAGGAGCACATCTGGATATGCTCAGTTTGTACTATATATAAGTAGGCATAAACGTGCTGTTTAAAAGTGTGTTTATGGAATACCTGTGCTAAAACATTCATCAGTTTCAAAAAAGATAAAATGTATCAATTCTGAATGAACTAAAAGTTATAGATACATATAATCATTTGGCTATATACAAATTAGGTGTGTTTATTTCAAGGTCAGTGTTTTCAAATTTGCCTCTCACTTCCATGTGCTCAGGGAGCACAGGGTCTGACACTAAGGAGAGGGGCGGGAAGAGGCTGTAGTGGGGAGAAGTTGGGAGGGTACAGGGAAAGGGGGCTACCTGATCCCCCAGATTTATTTCCCCTTCTGTAGTAGTGGGAAGGGGACAAATTTAAGGCAAATCTCTAATAATTAGATTCTATACCTGGAAAATTATAACACGTTTATAAATTTTCCTTATATAGAATCTAATTATTGGGGATCATCTTATATTCAGGGTCATCTTATATTTGAGAAAATATGGTAGTTCTGATAAAATACTAAAAACTTTCTCAAACTTTTTTTGAAGGGCATTATGTGACATGACAACTGTAGAATAATTGCAGTATGCTAAAAGGTCAACATTTTATTGGCACACGTTTGGATATGGTGCATTCATGGCTTTGCCATTCATTAATAATGCATCTAACCCAAATTCTTGTGTATCATGTATTTTATATATAATAATTTTCAGAAATTTAACTAGTCAATAAAAAGCCATAGTAATTAGAATATCACTTAGAATTATATTTTACAGAAAACAGCATGAAAGGAGTGAATAACTGTGGACAACTATGCAAAAACAGGTGTGCTGTGTTAAGCATAGCCCTTCAGCGCACACAAATCATTGTATCATTAAGCATAGTGGGTATGGGTTTCATCAAACCAAATCTCATAGATATTCTTTAGGAAGAGATTGTGGTACTGTACATCACACACATGGCATAGGAAATATGTTAATACCCCTGGCATTCTCACGGGTCTCTAACACCCATAATAGTAATAAATGCTCCCTGTATGCTCCAAAGGCTGCTGACAAGACAGAATCTGATTCATCACAGAGCATAAGCTTCTGAGTACAAACTATTACTACTTATGGCAGTTGTAATATGATGCTATTCTGTAGTAATCTAGAGTTTATACAGGCTGGTTTTTCAATTATCTGACTTCTTCCCCACAGTAGATGCCTTCTGGTATTAGCTAGCATTTTGCAGAAGTTGAGTGGAATTTTTGTTAAAGAGTGAAGTATGAAGGTACCATATAAAGTAAATTGTAATGGTATTCATTATTTTGCAGCATGCTAAAACATGACGTCCTTCATTTGTAGCTATGCCTGTTACTTTATATGTCTAAATTTTTTGGCTAGATAACTAAAACAAAGTCAGCAAGTAAGTTTTGCAATTTTTTAACTGATAAATCCTGTTCTGGTTTCCTCACCCTGCTGTTTTTCCCCAGCTAAAGTGTCTGGGGTTTTTTCTTCCTACTAATCTGAAAAGAATGTTCCAATGGTTTAATTCTGTGGGTTTCAGTTTCAATGTTAAGGTGGAACAAAGCAATGCTCACTTCCAAGAATCACCATCAGTGCACCTCCCAGCATGAATGGCAAAACCCCTTGTGATTGTCAAACACTAATAAAAGTTGAAAGATATTTGTATTTGCATGATATTTCTTCATTTTATTTCATTTGTGGATTAGATTGTAGATTCTCCATCCTGAAAGACATTTTCCATCTTTTTTCCAGTTCTGAAAGTATTCCTGTCATTTTGCATGCAATATGCATTTGTCTCTGAAATTTGGTATAGATTTATTATTCTATGAAAGAAGATTGATGTTGATTGGCAGGCAAGATTCTTTGGGTAGATATGATATCTTTTATTAGATCAACTGAGTAGTTGGAAAAAAGTTATTTGCAAGCTTTCGGGTGCAATCACCCTTCTTCAGGCATAAGAAGTCTCTGCTGTTCTGAGACTCCAAGGATTGAAAGATGCTAAAAGTGTGACAGGAGGTCAGTGAGAATTTAAATAGGAAGAAATTAGGAAAACAAAAGGTAGAAGAGGGAAGGAGGGGGGAAAAAATCAGGGGTAGGGGGAAAAGGACTAGGGTGAGTAAGGGAGACTCTACAGTAGTAGTAATTCAAGGTAAAAAAAGAGGCTATGAAAAAGAAAATAGCTGGAAATTATAGATTCATAGATGTTAGGGTTGGAAGGGA